GAGGCATTGCAAAGACCAGTTACAGCTATGACTTGCAGAGGCATGATGGAACTTGTAGTCCTGCACAGCTGGAGAACCGCATTTTGCCCACCCCTGCTCTAGAGGAACCATGGTTGAGAAACCCTGTTCTAATGTATCACTTGCACTGTCGCTAGGGTTTTCGCTACCATTATTCATCATGTGATAATAGATAGAAGATACAGGTTCTTTTTTTACATTATTTGGTAGGAAAGTACAGGGCATGTCTATGAATGCATCCAGAATCCGGTTACACCCTTTATGAGCTAATTGAAGACACTGCTCTGGATTATATTGTCCCCCCATAGTACTGTTAATCCCACAGTGATCTCAGCAGTGCCTCCGAAGGTAGCCCTCTTTGTGAGGGGGGGGGGGGGGTTTGGTGGAACAGTGCACATATACCCAGGTATACATAGTTATTAATAGAGATAACTCCAGAAGAATGTTGCACAAAAAGTCCACTTGCAGGGGCCCCTAAGGATGATGCGGTGTCTGCCTTTGTGTTGGAGACCTGAAGACAAGATTTGCAGTCATGGGAAAAGCATCCAACTGTTGTCCATCTAGCCTGGAATGGAGTTTCTCACCGGCAGGAACTGTGCTGTGGCATTGGAGCTCTGTGTCACCCTATCTATTCTGTATTTTAGTTCCACCCTAGTAGTTTATAATAGTCTCTTCTGATCCTGGATATAGTAGCATGGATAGGGTTGAGACTTTCTCTGTCTCTCTCCTTCTGGGGTTTCTAAGCGCACAACCCAGGTGCAGGAAGTGTACATATACAATATTTACAAATTCAGACAATAGAGGGCAGAACATCCCTACACATTTCATTTGTCATTTTCACTCAGCACTCTCTTGGCAAGCAAAAAAAACAAACTCAGTACAAGTAATCTTACCACCAATTCCCTTCTGTAGCCCATGCTATTGTCAAGAAATAACATGGGCTGAATAAAATACAAAAAACCAAAGCATTCCTAAATGATGTGTTAATCTTAATCCGTTTATGAAAAAAAAAAAAAACGCTATACTATTCCAGCACCACCACTAATGTGCATTGAGGGCCATGCCCTCTGTATCAGAGCCTCTAACAAAGAGGCACACTTCTCAAAAAACATTAGCCATGGACATAACAAGTGCCACTGTTGGGCTGGAGTGGAACACAACTCTTTTACCTGTGGAATACTCGTGTTGCAAATTTTTCACTTGACACGTCCCTCCTGGGGTCGCATGTGTACATGTAAAGTGATTATATTGCTTGTTTGAAGATTGTTTTCTTATAGCACAATTAAAAGCTACTGTATGGCAGTCTAAACAAATGGCAAAATCAGTTACTATGTGATGCACAAGTATCATAAGCAAAAAACCTCCCTTACTTTTCCTGACTTAGACAAAGCCTCCTTTATTTGCGCTTTCACATACTCACCCCTCCCAGACACTGCAGCTCACAGCAGCATCTTTATTTTAGCAACAAAGGCAGTACTGTCAATTCAGAAAGCAGTGGGTAGGACAATCTGTGATTAGGTGCTGTCTGCCAAGCTCCAGGCTTGTGAGCCTGAAGTGAAAATGCTGATAGCCACACCCCCTGCAATGTCTTATCATCTCAGTGTAGTGTAAACAGGCACAGCCTACAGGAGAGTGGCAATGCTGCTGTGAGTTCGGAACCAATGCATCATCATTGCTACACCATCAGAAGTTGCATTAGGTGGATTTCTCTGGCAAGCTTAACATATCTTTGGACTTTACAGGGGAACTAAGAGAGAACTAAGTGTGGATGCAGTAATTGCATGCTGAAGCACACATTTTTTTAGCCATAGGCCTCTTTCACATGCACGTTCCGATCAGGTCCAACTGCCCGTTTTTCAGGCAGACCCGATTGGAACCTCCATTCTCCTCTATGGAGCAGTGGGTGTACACCCACCGACATCCAATACAATTCACCAAAAAGAGACAGATACTCTTCCGTCTGTTGGATCACATCGGATGGAAGTCGGATGGAAACTGACAGGCGGTCCGTTTCCATCCGACCCCGCCCATAGAGGACAGCAAGCTGTGTCTGTGTCCGCTCTGCACATGTAGAATGGACACAGTCCTGTCATCCGCTTGCTCAAAGACAGATCCCCCACTAAGCAAGCGGATCCACAGATGGGTCCGCCCCATGTGAAAGGCACCATAGTTCTATTTAAATAAATATGTCAAGCTAACACGCCATGCTGGTGAGCTTCTGTGCTTTAATACTATGGATAACATCTTATCATAAAAAATAGGTCCATCTGCTTTGTAATTTCTTCAGCTAGGCACTGAACTGTTACAAAATGTAGGTATGAATATTCACTATATTGCCAAAGTATTGGGACGTCTCCCTTTATAAGCACGTGAACTTTAATTGCATCCTACTCTTAATCCGTATGGTTCAATATTGAGTTAGCCCACCCTTTGCAGCTATAACAGCTTCAACTCTTCTCGGAAGGCTGTTCACAATGTTTAGGAGTGTCTTTGGGAATGTTTGACCATTCTTCCAGAAGTGCATTTGTGAGGTCAGGCACTGATGCGAGACGAGAAGTCCTGGCTCGCAGAGAGATCAGGACTCTGTGCAGACCATTCAAGTTCCTCCACCCTAAACTCGCTCATCTATGTCTTTATGGACCTTGCTTTGTGCACTGGTGCGCAGTCATGTTGGAATAGGATGGGGCCATCCCCAAACTGTTCCCATAAAGTTAGGAGCATTAAATGTCTTGGTATGCTGATGCCTTAAGGGTTCCCTTTACTGGAACTAAGGGGCCATGCCCAACCACTGAAAAATAACCTCCCCTGCATCATAATCTCCCCTGCACCAAACTTTACACTTTGCACAATGCAGTCCGGCAAGTACCGTTCTCCTGGCAACCGCCAAACCCAGAAACATCCATCGGATTGGCAGACAGAGAGAAGTGTGATTCGTCACTCCAGAGAACACGTCTCCACTGCTCTACACCATTGCATCCGATGCTTTGCATTGCACTTGGTAATGTAAGGCTTGGATGCAGCTGCTTGACCTTGGAAACCAATTCCATGAAGCTTTCTACGCACTGTTGTTGTGCTAATATGATGGCCACATGAAGCTTGGAGGTCTTTAGCTTTAGCTATTGACTCTGTGGACAGTTATCGAACTTTTGTGCACTGTGTGCTTCAGCATTTGCTGACCTCACTCTGTCATTTTACGTGGCCTACCACTTCGTGGCTGAGTTTCTGTTGTTCCCAGTTGCTTCCACTTCCGTGGAATATTTAGTGGCAAGGAAATTTCACAGATGGACTTATTGCACAGGTCGCAACCTATCATGGTACCTCGCTTGAATTCGATGAGCTCCCGAGAGCGACCCATTCTTTCACAAATTTTTGTAGAAGCAGTCTGCATGCCTAGGTGCTTGATTTTATACACCTGTGGCCATGGAGGTGATTGAAAACACCTGAATCCAATGATTTGGAGGGGTATCCCAATACTTCTAGCAATATAGTGTATGTACTAGTAGTAATGTGACATGGTGTCATTGGCTATTTTGCTCCCAGATCCAAAATGGAGAGGTGTCACTTGAATCAGTTATTGCTATAGATGTAGCATTTGGTTTGTCACAACATATGTAAATACCAGTTAGAGCAATGCCTTCTTTCCCTTTTTAAGGTGCTACAATTAATTGTGGTAATAAATAATTCAACACTTCCTCTCTGATTAGCCAGTATGATTCAATGCACAAATCCCCTATCTAAATACATAAACAAAAAGAAAAAAAGTATTCTATAGATTCATGAGTCATTGACTTTGTTTTTCCATCAGCATATGTAATAATGATAACCATTGTATCTTTTGCAAAATGATTTCAATAAAAACTTATTGAAAGTGAAAACAAAGTATTCTATTAAATTGAGTTATAACAAAATGTCTTAAATAATGTATTTAAAGTTATGTCTAATATTTTTAAATACAATGTGTGCTTGCTGACAAAACAGTGACAAGATCAATATTTTTAGTCAACTTTAGAGCAATTAATGTATAGTATGTATTAAGGAGCATTCATAGCATTTCAGCACACCAGCAACATATCTGAGCAAAGGAAAAAACAGGTTAGGTCATTTGAAAGTCACCTTGGTGGATGTCATAATGAAGGATGCCTGTGCTGGAAAGCAAACACAGAAGAAAGACACACAGCTATCCCTGTACTGATCTGTCTTACCAGTAATGTATGTCCTTGACAGATGAGGAAATGACCCGTATTTAAGATGGTAAGGGTGATGATTTCAGACTTTTCATTAGACTCTAATACCTAGAGTTAAAAAAAAACAGATTTTTTAAAAATGAATAAACATATTTTAGTTTCTCTAGTTTTGATCTACTTATTTTTCCCAAAAATATTGAAAAAAAGGAATTTTGACTCACCTGCAAAACCCATATCTTGGAGTAAAGTACACCCAATAGAGAGTCCACATACAATGTATATCATATAGTTATATTTTCCAAATAAAATCAACTACCTTCTCCTACAGTCAATTAAAAAATAAAATGTAAAATACATCTATTCAGCTAGCCATACACTAGAAGATTGTCAAACATTTGCGTGAAAATTCACACGAAAATTGTCAGTACATTCAATGACTTGGTGTATATCATTCAAAAGAACTTCAAAATTCCATTTGCTTTTAACATTCAATTTCGAAATGAATGTACAATAATTTCCCCAGCAAAAACCAAAATCACGGGTGGAACTTCATTCGAGAAACATTTTCCATCCTGCTTTCTCATCACTGCAGTCAGAAGCAAACATCAATTTTGGCCCGCTAACAATTAGAAAATCCCCACTCCACTCCATGAGACCTGTGTTCTGAACTGGGCTCCATGATACAGAATGTACAGGCAAATAAACATTGATGGGGATTTGTGGAGATAGGGGAAGGGAGGTTGATGGGGAGTTGGTGCTTGTTTTTACTTTTCCTTGTATTTAACAAAGTTAAAAGGGTTATTTTTTCTCACTGAACAGTCTTCCACTGGGATTTGTCAATTTGATGGCAAGCTGGGCTACTCTTTCCACAATGGCTTTGTGGTTCTTAGAGGAGATGTTATGAGCAATTTCAGTGCAGAATGACTTGTTGCTAATCATTAGAACATGAGTTCCTTTACGTTGTTTACAAGGAACTTCTTGAAGCCAGTGGGCAGCATGTGTTTGGTTTTCTTGTTGTTACTGTAACTGATGTTGGGCATCAGGATCTGACCCTTGTCAATACCTCTAGGCTTGCACCAGTATGGCTTAATTTTAACATAACGGTGTGACTGGTGGCGGATTAAGTTCTTTCTCCATGTCTTGACAATCTTGGGCTTTATGAGAGGTCTAAGAGCCACCATGGTACTGGTCTGGAGCATCCGCCTTCACTGCAGACAGCCCCAGGAAAAAGAGGGGTTGGTGCTTGTTTTTAATCCTTAATATAATCTAGTTATAATAAAAATATATATTTTTATAATTTTTCAAAAAAATTATTTGGTAGCCCCAAGCTGGTGTAGTTTCTACACAGTTCTTTCTTCATACAATATAGCGTATTGAATTTTGTGGTGACACCTACCATAGTATAATGGTTTGGGCACTGTAATCAGTATATGTGTACTCCCTCCAATGAAATGCTTTCTTTTGATTATTGGATATTTATAGACTCTGGGACATTCCGTAGCAATGCATCAGAAGGGTGGGCAAAAACAAGGGGAACAAAACCATGCCAATGTGGGCCCATGAAACAGAAAGAAGTCAAAGACGCAACTCAAAGTGCCGCTGAAAGAACCTTGTAACCAAAAGCTGCATCCACAGAGGCCTGGACATCCGCCTGGTAAAACCTGGATAATATATGAACTGAAGACCAGTTGACAGCCTTAAAAAACTCAGCAACAGGTGCTTGATTACAGAATACCCAGGAAACCCCCACCAATCTGGTATAGTGAGCACATCAGTGTACTGGAGGTACCACAGCTTTCAGAGTATAGATTCTTACAATGAATTGTCTTCTCCATCTGGCAATACTGGATTTGGAGGCAAGGTGTCTGTCAGGGCTCCCAGGTGTGACCAGAGGTGTGTGACTGACGCAGGGAAACGCAGACTTCAGATATGTGATAAACAATATAATTTATTAACACTAACAATACAAACATAAACGCAGTGCAATACTAAACATAATACAGTGCAAACAAACCAAACCAACCACCCACAGATAACAGTACATACAAGCAAGCGTCGTCAGGCAGGCCGGGTCAATATCAATTGGGCAGGTAGGTACAGGGGGAGTAAGCGGAGATTGGTCGGGGTCACAGGCCAGGTTCAGCAGGTAGCTAGCAGCGTAGTACAGAGGGTCAGGCAGAGGGATGGTCAGGGTCACAAGCCAGGGATCAGAACAGGTAGCAGGCAGCGTAGTACAGAGGGTCAGGCAGAGGGATGGTCAGACAAGCCAGGGATCAGAACAGGTAGCAGAGAATCAGACAGGAACAGAGAGCAGGAACAGGATACAGGGCCCAAGAGAAAAACAACACCAAGGCAGAGTCTGCAAGTCTGGCCATCCCTTAAATACCTCAGCATAATCAGTTCCAGGTGTTAGCTGGCTGCAAAGTTGAGTCTCTGATTGCTGGGAGCATCCGCTGGCCAGCCCTGGTACTGCAGATCAAAAGGCAGGTGAGTCCCACCATTGCTGGCTAGTCCATTCCTGACAGTACCCCCCCCCCCTCAAGGAGCGGCCTCAGGACGCTCCAAACAGTCCTAGCTGGGCAAAATGTTCCACCGCCCGGGTCTGGTAACTGGCGGGATATCAAAGACTGGCACACCGGGCAGGACTCCGGGCAGCGGCACACCGGGCAGGGGCACACCGGGCAGAGGCACATTGGGCAAAGGCACACCGGGCAGGACTCCGGGCAGAGGCACACCGGGCTGGACTCCGGGCAGAGGCACATCGGGCTAGACTCCGGGCAGAGGCACATCGGGCTGGACTCCGGGCAGAGGCACATCGGGCTGGACTCCGGGCAGAGGCACATCAGGCTGGACTCCGGGCAGAGGCACATCGGGCAGGACTCCGGGCAGAGGCACATCGGGCAGGACTCCGGGCAGAGGCACATCGGGCAGGACTCCGGGCAGAGGCACATCGGGCAGGACTCCGGGCAGAGGCACATCGGGCAGGACTCCGGGCAGAGGCACATCGGGCTGGACTCCGGGCAGAGGCACATCGGGCAGGACTCCGGGCAGAGGCACATCGGGCAGGACTCCGGGCAGAGGCACATCGGATTACCAGGCGAAGCAGCAGGCAGCGGGCCACCAGGCGGGCGGCAGGCACCGGGCGGGGCGGCAGGCACCGGGCCCCCGGGCGGGGCGGCAGGCACCGGGCCCCCGGGCGGAGGGGCAGGCACCGGGCCCCCGGGCGGCGGCGGCAGGCACCGGGCCCCCGGGCGGAGCGGCAGGCAGCGGGCCCCCGGGCGGAGCGGCAGGCGTCGGGCCCCCGGGCGGGGCGGCAGGCGTCGGGCCCCCGGACGGGGCAACAGGCGTCGGGCCCCCCGGGCGGGGCGACAGGTTTCGGGCCCCCGGGCGGGGGGCGACAGGCATCGGGCCCCCTGGCGGGGCGACAGGCATCGGGCCCCCAGGCGGGGCGACAGGCATCGGGCCCCCAGGCGGGGCGACAGGCATCGGGCCCCCAGGAGGGGCGACAGGCATCGGGCCCCCCAGGCGGGGCGACAGGCATCGGGCCCCCAGGCGGGGCGACAGGCATCGGGCCCCCAGGAGGGGCGTCAGGCATCGGGCCCCCAGGAGGGGCGACAGGCATCGGGCCCCCAGGAGGGGCGACAGGCATCGGGCCCCCAGGAGGGGCAACAGGCATCGGGCCCCCAGCGGAGCGGAGCGACAGGTCTTGGGCCCTCAGGCGGAGCGGCGGGCGCCGGACCCCCAGATGGAGTGACAGGTCTCGGGCCCCCAGGCGGAGCGACAGGTCTCGGGCCCTCAGGCGGAGCGGCGGGCGCCGGACCCCCAGATGGAGCGACAGGTCTCGGGCCCCAGGCGGAGCGGCGGGCGCCGGACCCCCAAGTGGAGCGACAGGTCTCGGGCCCTCAGGCGGAGCGGCGGGCGCCGGACCCCCAGGTGGAGCGACAGGTCTCGGGCCCCCAGGCGGAGCGACAGGTCTCGGGCCCTCAGGCGGAGCGGCGGGCGCCGGACCCCCAGGTGGAGCGACAGGTCTCGGGCCCTCAGGCGGAGCGGCGGGCGCCGGACCCCCAGGTGGAGCGACAGGTCTCGGGCCCCCAGGCGGAGCGACAGGTCTCGGGCCCCCAGGCGGAGCGACAGGTCTCGAGCCCTCAGGCGGAGCGGCGGGCGCCGGACCCCCAGGTGGAGCGACAGGTCTCGGGCCCCCAGACGAAGCGGCGGGCACCGAGTCACCAGGCACGACAGTGGGCACCGAGTCGTCTGGCAAGACTGCGGGCACCACCGAGGCGTCTGGCAAGACTGCGGGCACCGAGTCGTCTGGCAAGACTGCGGGGCACCGAGTCGTCTGGCAAGACTGCGGGCACCGAGTCGTCTGGCAAGACTGCGGGCATCGAGTCAACTGGCGGAACAGCGCGGGCATCGAGTCAACTGGCGGGACTGCGGGCATCGAGTCAACTGGCGGAACAGCGGGCATCGAGTCGTCTGGCAAGACTGCGGGCACCGAGTCGTCTGGCAAGACTGCGGGCACCGAGTCGTCTGGCAAGACTGCGGGCACCGAGTCGTCTGGCAAGAACTGCGGGCACTGAGTCGTCTGACGGAACAGCGGGCATCGAGTCGTCTGGCAAGACTGCGGGCACCGAGTCGTCTGGCAAGACTGCGGGCTCCGAGTCGTCTGGCAAGACTGCGGGCACCGAGTCGTCTGGCAAGACTGCGGGCATCGAGTCAACTGGCGGAACAGCGGGCATCGAGTCAACTGGCGGAACAGCGGGCATCGAGTCAACTGGCGGAAGTCGTCTGGCGGACTGCGGGCACCGAGTCGTCTGGCAAGACTGCGGGCACCGAGTCGTCTGGCAAGACTGCGGGCACCGAGTCGTCTGGCAAGACTGCGGGCACCGAGTCGTCTGGCAAGACTGCGGGCACCGAGTCGTCTGGCGGAACAGCGGGCATCGAGTCGTCTGGCAAGACTGCAGGCACCGAGTCGTCTGGCAAGACTGCGGGCACCAAGTCGTCTGGCAAGACTGCGGGCACCGAGTCGTCTGGCAAGACTGCGGGCACCGAGTCGTCTGGCAAGACTGCGGGCACCGAGTCGTCTGGCAAGACTGCGGGCACCGAGTCGTCTGGCAAGACAGTGGGCTCCGAGTCAACAGGCACGACAGTGGGCACCGGGTCATCAGGTATCGGATTGTCTGGCTCGACAGCGGGCATCGGGTCACCAGGTATGACAGCGGGCACTGGGTCACCAGGCATCAGGTCATTTGGCTTGCCAGCGGGCACCGCGTCATCTGGCAAGGCAGTGGGCACCGGGTCACCAGGTATGACAGCGGGCTCTGAGTCAATTGGCACGACAGCGGGCACTGGATCAGGTACCGGATCATCTGGATCAACAGCGGGCATCGAGTCAACTGGGCTAATAGGATCGTCGGGCTGGATCAGTTCATCATGCTGAGTAGCGGCATCAGGCTGAATGCAGGCATCAGGCCGAGTAGAGGCTTCGGGCTGAGTAGAGGCATCGGGCTGAAGAGAGGCATCGGGCTGAAGAGAGGCATTGGGCTGAAGAGAGGCATCGGCTGAAGAGAGGCATCGGGCTGAAGAGAGGCATCGGGCTGAAGAGAGGGCATCCGGCTGAAGAGAGGCATCCGGCTGAAGAGAGGCATCCGGCTGAAGAGAGGCATCCGGCTGAAGAGAGGCTTCAGGCTGAAGAGAGGCTTCAGGCTGAGTAGAGGCTTCAGGCTGAGTAGAGGCTTCCGGCTGAGTAGAGGCTTCAGGCTGAGTCACGGAAGGCAGGTTCACCGGTTTGGATACTGGCAGGATGGTATTGGTTGGAAAGAATTTTCGCTTTTTTCTGGTTTTAACTACTGGAGCACTGCAAGTAAACGCAGGTCTGCAAACGAATGGAGCAGCTGGAGACAGAGAAAAACTGGAGGATGGAACAGGAGAGGGAGCAG